AATGTTTATTTTTACTCTACTTAGAGAGCTTCTGTCGTTTGTCTTTCACAGCTGCCTGAGTCTTTCATGAAGCCCATGAACTTAAACGCTGATAATGCACGCTTCAACTCGAGAAACGACGCCTACGCGAGAAGCCTTTATATTCACTCAGTTTGGACCACCGACATAACTGGGCAGCCCAGTACAGCCTTGTGCATATAGCTAGTCAGCGCCTCCGACACTCCTACATGAATAGTAACTCGACGGGGTTATTCCAATCTTCGACATGGAGGCGAATCCTTTAAGTGAGTCCTGAACTTGGAGTATTTATCGCCTTAAGCCAAGTCTAGTGTACCATAAGATACAGGCAAAGCATCATGCAAAACATAACAAGCACCTCCAGGGAGTGTCACTGGCTGGACCGCTGGTCTGAAGGGCTATGTACGGTTTGTATCGAAAAGTCAGATCGAAGCAACTTTGCCGGAATTGAACAAGTTGCAAAAGTTTCCAAGATCATGTCCCGATGCGCCAGGCAGGCAAATATAGCGGAACTGGAATTTGCGACTAATGACACGAAATTGGCATAGACACCACCCAATGACACCAGTATGATTATCAGACAGAAGAAAACACGGCAGCGATTGGCTGTGAAGTGTTCCATTCTGTGTTCTGGAAGCCAACACCTGCATGTTTCAGCGTTGGATGGGTTTCTTCTTGTTTCCCGAGAGACCAAACGGATCCCGTTTCGGGTAGACGTTGAGCGGCTTTGCAGTGCCGGCATGAGAAGAAAAGAGGAAATGAATTTATTTGAGAAATTGAGAATTATAGATAACCGTTCTTTTAGCTCAACGGCCTCCGATGCCGCCTCTCATGTGGGGGTTTCCTGGCGGTTTACCATAGAAGCACCCTCTTTTTGCTTTCTTATCCCACATGACACGACAGGAAATGACAGGAAGATTAGAAGCGGGCGTCAAGTTGAGTGATGCGAGATGATCATCGCAACAGGCCCAAAATTCGGGGCGAAACCTTTCAAGGAGATGGATTTAATGACCGGCGAGTAGAGGACGTATGTTGAAATCATCACACGCACATGTTAAGTTTCTAAAAGAGTCGTGTTCACCCAGCCTCAGGCGCAGCGTGTGGCTGGCAATTAAGATTAAGGACACATCAGTGCTAGCAAAAGCACTAGACAAACTACGCAAGGGAATAGAGATGGACATAACCGGCTACTAGTCTATGCCCCGGCACCGAGGATCTACGCTCCTCCGCACAGAAGCTCCTCCGCGTGCTCCGGAACCCACTCCGGGATCCTTCTTAATTCTCCGTGACGCGATTCCAAGTCAGGTCTGGTCGCAGATGTAGCTCGATCCCCACCGAGAGTTTCCCCCTTGCAGCTCTTCTGTGGCAGAGCACCGATGTCCCCAAACTTGAAATAAGCAACAAAGCCCGGTCACCTCGTGGTCCCGAATGCCCCATACGTGCTCTCAAGCTCCCCTCTCAAGCCTCCAACAACAAAAGGACCCGAGATCACTCCAACTCAAAGCTTCCAAGACTTCGCTTCTCCCGTGCTCTCCCAATTGTTAAGCTCCCAGATCGGCGCTGAGATCGTCCGAGGATGCGGTCCATGCGCCGAGACAGCAGCGACAGAAACCTTGCGGGACTGTGCGGCTGCATGTCCCTTGAAACTAAACACCGCCCATCAGCTGTCACGCCAGCGGGTGTGAGCACAGCGCCCCAAGCTCTTGAGCTCATCTTTTGGAGTCTCGATAGGCGTTTCGCGGGCATAGCCAAGATACGTCCGTCCAGTATGCCTGGTCTGCGACACCATGTGTTGGGCCGCTTGCCGGCTTCCCTTTTCTTTGAGCTTCCCCGTCGTTAGTTCGTTTAGTCCCGGGAATTTCTCCAGAATTTTATCCAACTTGAACATACCGCATTGTCAGCAGGAAGCTTGTCTCTATAGCGACGAGCGCATCCTCATCCATCATGGCCACCGCCAACGATTCCTTCTCCAACCAGTCCTCCTGGGGGCCCCTCGAGACACTGCAGGCATTCCCAAGCCCGTTGGAGAAGCCAGTACCATACTTCATCACAGCTTTCTTGCTCTTCGTCTTCTACTTCTCTATACAGCAAGCAGAGCAGACGCCTCACACAGATCTGCCGATTGTCAACCCTAAGCACAAGTGGGATTTCACCGGGCTGAAAGTCAAGTATGACTTCATCACAAAGGTCCGGAATATCGTGTTGGAGAGGGCGAAAACGAACCCCGATGAGCCCTACCAAGTCTTGACGGACATGGGAGATATGACGATCCTTCCCGCGGTACCCTTCGCCAACGAGATTCGCAACCACGAGGACCTCAGCTTCGACCGCGTTCTTGATAAGGTAGGTACTCTCATTCGACAAGTTGTGTAGCCCATATTGATTGTGGCGTAGAACTTTCATGCCCAGATGCCCGGCTTTGAGCCTCTGAAGGAGAACAACGCGCAAAAGTCCGTCCTCAAATACGTTATTCGCACAAGATTGACCCAGTTCCTTTGTGAGTCAATGCATTGCTCTAACGAGCCTCATCACCCAAGCTAACACACCCGCAGCAAAGTTGACATCTCCCGTTTCCGACGAGACAACGCTGTCACTGACTGATGTTCTGGGAGAGGATAAGGGTAAGAACCCCATCTTAGCGGTACTGGGATAGCCTGCTAACACAACACAGAATGGTCCACCGTGGTAATCAAGGAGAACATGCTCAAGGTCGTAGCTCGAGTTTCCACTCGCGTCTTTGGCGGCGAGGAACTCTGCCGCAACCAGGATTGGATCAAGATTACCTCTGAATATGCCCGAACCAGCTTCCTCGCCTCAGAGTTCCTCCGAATGTTCCCCAAGTCTCTGCGTAACCTTGCCCACCAGATCCTTCCCATTTGCCGTCAGCTCCAAGCGCAGGTCAAGGAGGCCAGAGAGATCATCAACCCCATCGTGGAGGTACGCCGCAAAGAAAAGAAGGCGGCGTTGGATCGTGGCGAAGAGGAGCCTGAGTGGAATGACTGTCTTGACTGGTGTGAAGAAGCATCCGACGATGCCAAGTCGGACCCTGCGATGATGCAGCTTGGACTTTCTTTCGCCGCTCTCCACACCACCTCCGATCTCATCACCCAGGTGATGCTCGACCTCGCCAAGTACCCCGACTACTTTGAGCCGCTTCGCAAGGAGATTACCGATGTCATTCGCACCGATGGCTGGGCTCGCATGGGCCTCTACAAGATGCGCCTCCTGGACTCCTTCTGCAAGGAGACTCAACGTCTTCACCCCATTGGCATCGGTAAGTTTCCGCTTAGCCTCCTAAACAACTATCACTGATATGGATCTTGTCTAGTTGCCATGCACCGCGAAGCTACCAAGCCCGTGACCCTCTCCAATGGACTAGAACTCCCCGAGGGCAGCCGCATCGCTGTCAGCTGTCAAAGAATGACTGATGGCTCCGTCTACTTGGACCCCAGCCGCTTTGACGGATATCGTTACCTGCGCATGCGCGAGTCCCTTGGCGCTGGAAACGATGGAGCCGCACACTTTGTCAGCACCTCGCCCGAGCACCTTGGCTTCGGCCACGGTCAGCACGCCTGCCCTGGTCGTTTCTTCGCCGCCAACGAGGTCAAGATTATTCTCTGCCACCTTCTTCTCAAGTACGACTGGAGACTGGCGGCCGAGCAGCAGCCCAACACGATCAACTTTGGATTCACTATGGAGGTTGACCCCAAGGCAAAGCTCGAGATCCGGCGGAGGACCGGTGACTTGGGCCTCAAGGCATGAGGGGGTTCCGTGCGTGGTGGTTGGGGACACACGCATCCTCGGGCATACTTGCATGTGTGATTTATTTCTGGTAAGGTATGCATTTGCTGGGTTTCACTGGGCTCATGTAATCAAGGTCGGACGATGGTCATAGCAATGAGCCAAACGAATTGGATTAGCTAGGCGTTGAATGCATTCTTTGTATCAAGATCGCACACTTTTGACCCGTTTCCTCGTGAAAGACTTGATCGATTTGTTGACCCCATCCATGGCGTTGATAATGATTGCCTGCCCAATGGTTCAGAAACAGGTTTAACATTGAGTAGTCTTCAAGGAGACAGAATCGAATCAAATCGCAATGTGGTATCGTCTGATTCTTGTCGGAAACATCATCTCACCTCCGGTCTGCTTCTCGGATTCACGCAAGAATTCATCCTGTCTACGGCCCGCAAGCAAGTCTTTCGCCACGTTGCGCCGACGGGCTCCCTGTTCCGTGAGTTGGGCCTCTCAAATACACCGAAATTCGACACAGTCTACCTACTCGCTTTTGGGCCCCCGTCTGAAGCCATGAAAGAAAGTTCCTTAGTGCATCAACCCTCTGCATACTCTGGACGGAGGTGTCGCCTCGGTAGACGACAAGCGTCCAGCCGTTGACGCTAAACGTGGGCAACGGCAGTCTCTTCTCGTCAACCGCCATCTTTCCCTGGTTCTAGATCGTCTGAGCCTCGTGCCCTTTCCACCATTCTAGGTTCCGAATACTTTAGCCAAGGCAGTCGCGGCTCTCAACAACGACATAGCGCCTTGAGGGCCGACGTTTAACGACGTTGGACGTATTTCTTCCATTCAATTCTAGAGTAACTTTCACCCTTTGAGAACTAGCTGTGGACTCCCCGGTCCGTAGCATGACTTGCCTTGCTTGTCTGCAGCTATCACTCGGCGAGTTCATTCTGGAAATGCGAACCGTTAACCCTTGCACGATAACCTTATCTCATCCTTGACCATCTGATGCAGAGCTGCTTGGCAATGAACCTCCCTCACTGCTTAAAGGACCGTTCTCTCAAGCCTTCACCAGCCTAAGTCAGGAAAACGTGGGGAGGGCTGAGCAATGACTTATCAAAGTGATAGTCTAGGGGAATGACGTCTGAGAGTAACGATCTCGGTCAATGAAATTTCAAGAAGCCAAACACGGTAATGCGTAATACCCTTATTCATCCTATGACTGCTAAAACGAATCTAATAACCTAATTCAGGAAACCTTTGAGCGATTCCATCTGTTTCAACTCTTCTAGTAGGTCCGTGAAATCTTTGACTCCGTGCTTTTCGCTCATCTCCTTGAAATAAGGCAGTTGCTGCTTAAGCCACGCTTCCTCGTGGCCAGCGTCGGGAATAGCCATCCCGCTGTCAGGGCGCATCGGGTGCGCGGGGCCCACCCCGCGCACGCGCAGCCCTAGCCCTGCTAGTGCGTACGTAACTCGTAAACGGGCTATAGAATTATAGGGGGTAAGGTTTAGTATTAGTATTAATAAGGATTTAATTATAAACTCGTAGCCTATTTACTTATTACTTTATATAATAAAGTATTAATAAACTAAACTTTTTAATAATTTTTTAATAGATTAATAAATAATATATTAGTAAATACTTATTATATAAACTATAATAACTTAGTTATTTTATTTTAAAGAGTAATAAGTTTTAAGTACTTATAACGTAAAGAAGTTTATAAAAATAATTATAAAAACCTTTTAATTAATAATATATTAAATATTAAAGAGTATAAGTTATTAAAAAAGGTTAAAGGTTAAAAATATAAATTTATATTATTAAAATTAAGTAGCGTATTTATTAATAATATATAGAGTTAGAATAGTTATAATAAAAGAAAATAGGACGGGTATTTTATTTAAAAACGAGGATTTTATAAGGATTTATTATACTATAAGTAAGTAAGCGAGATAAATAAAATAAACGAGGGGTTATTAGTAGTATAAGGTAGTATAAGAGATAATATAAAACGGCTACTTAAGTTTATTATATTATTAACTTTAACCCTATTTATAATAAAAAAGAGCTAAGGAATTAAAATTATTTTTATATAACTATTATTAATACTTAGTTATATAGTAAGGAAGCTATTTAATAATAATATTAAAATAATAATAGCTTTATATTTTTTAAGGGCGAACTAAAATTACTTAGGTATATTATATAAAAAATAAAGAAATAAAACTTATAATATATAGTTATATTATTATAAGAAAGATTTAAAACGTATTTATATAATTAGTTAGTAAACTTAAGTAGCTATGTATTAATAACGAGTTTATAACTTAAGTTATATTAAAAAATAACGAGATAATTAATTATTTTATATGGCTTATAATAAATTAAAAATAGAGTTATTTTTAATTAAATAGAAGAGTAGTATATTATAAGCTTATTTAATAAATTAAAGTACGAAGTATGCGTAGTTATAGTAATATAAAGCTAATTATTAAGTATATAATAAGAGTTAGTATTAATAATAAGGCGTATTAAATATATATTAAAGCTAAGTTATTATAAAGCTAGTATAAGAATTTAACGAGGAGCTAACTAATATAAATAATAAATATAAAAATATTAAGCTTATTAATAAAAGTATATAAGTAATACTTAAAAATAGTAATAATAATAAAAATAAGGAGAGGAGTAATAATTAGGTTATAAAAGGAATAGGATTTAGAATAATCTTATATTATTATAATTATAATAAAGAAGGGTATAAGAAAGTAGATTACTTAAGGCTTTAAAAGGAGCTAGGAGCTACTATATATATAAAAAGTTAGGGTACTTTACTATATAGTATTTTAAAACTGAGTATAGATTTTATAAAAAAAAGGCTACGTTATTTAGAATTATTATTAATCAAGTTATAAGCTAGGAGTAGTAATTATAGTAAACGTAATACTCGTATTAGTAGTACGAGAGTAAGAGAAGTAATAAGATTATTAGCTAGATATTAAAATTATACGTAGATAATTAATAATAAAATTAGAGTAGTTTAATAAATTATAAATCGGGATTTAATATAATTAGTACTAGTTACGTTATAGCTAATTTATAATAATTATAGATTTACTTAGTAAAGTTATTAGAGGATATAATAAAGAGACCCTTAATAATAAGAGGGAGTTATTATTTATAAATCTAAGTGGGATAACGTAGGAATAATAGAGAAGTAATTATATTATTTTATAATTATAGATATAAAGATATTAGTATTAATATTAAGAATATTTTAATTAGAGGATACTAATTTAGTTATACGTTAAAAAAAAATATAGTACTACTTAGTATTTAAGTATTATATTAGCTTAGTAATAATAAAAAATAAATTAGAGTTTTTAAGTAGCCTCGATTATATATATTATATATATAATATTTATAACTAAGGATAATATAAAGGGTATTATAATAATAATATTATAACTAGCTAGTCGTAATAAGTATATTAATAAAAGTTAAAGCTACGAATACTAAATAAATAGTATCGTAATCATAAATAGCTTCCTAAAGCTATATTTATAAATCGTAAAATAAGTAAAGCTTTAGTAATTAATTATAATTTTATTAAAAGGGTTTTAATAAAAATAGCTAAAAGCGATTATAAAATCTAATACTAAGTTAATTATTAAAAAGCTATAAAAGTCTATTTTTAAACCTAGCTTAAGTTTATATTATATATAAATCTCGTTCTTTAATTAAATAAAGTTAAATAGTTTTTATTTAAATATATTAAATATTTAGTATATCCTATATATCCTTAGCTTAGTTAAATATATTATATATCTAAAATATCCTTATTTCTTATCGTTACATAACTTATATTATAGTTCTTTTATTCCTAGGGTTTTTAATATTCTATCCTCCTATATATATAATACGTTATAATTACTAAGTACTAATAAGGTACGCCCTAGTCTTATATTAGGTCGTAATATTAGCTTCTCTTTTAAAAGTTTTATTCCTAAGACTAATATAAATAATAAGTTATTCTTAAGTTAGGAATCTATAAATTTACTTCTTAATTTATACTAACTCGAAATATTAAGTCGTATTTAAAAACAAAAGCTAACTTATTATTTAAAACTTATCTATTAAAAAGACTAAATAATAAAATTCTTTTTAAGTCTTATTTTAAGTAATTAAGTTATTATACTTATTTATTTTATTTATAAAATACGTAGCCTTTTTATATAAGGCCTTGCTATCTAATTCTTTTAATATATTAAATACGTTCGTAATAGAAAATCTTATTATAATTTTTAGAGATTATTTATTTAATAGTTTTATTAGATTAATAATTAATATTAAAAACTAAAGGACGCTCTAAAATAAGCTAAGGAGGCGTTATGTGTTAAATATTAAAATAAAGCGTTTTAAAAATAAAAAAATATAGTTTAAAAAAATAATGCGTACGGTATATCGTAGTATTAATAGTATAGAAGAGCTAGAGCGTATTAAAAGGAGAGTAGAAATAGAATAATATTAATAAGAGGGGCTCGCTCTTTTTACTAATTTTAATCATTTTTATAGATTTTATTAGGGAGTAGGATATAGTTTATTTTAATATTATTTTATTTTTATTTTTATTAACTAACTTTAGTTTATTAAATTTAGGCATATTAGTTAGGAGTTATAGTATAGCTAAAATAATTTCTAAGAGTACTAGAGGTTTATAATTAGTTCTTATATATTTTTTTATATTCGTAATCCTTTTATTTTATAAAATACTTATAGTTATTATTCTTAACTCTATAATTAATAATCCGTTTAATTTTATATTTTAGTTTATTAAGTTCTATAATAATATAATCTTTTATATATAAACTTTTAAGTATTAGTTCGAGAAATAAAATATAAAAGATTAGATAATATTTTATTATATCTAGAGTCTTAACTTATAGTTAATATTTAAGATTTTTAAATAATTTCAAAAGGTCTAAGTTTTTATAATTTAATTTGTTACTTAGTCGTTTTATTTTAATATTATAGTAAAGGAGATAGGTACTTTTCCTTTTTAAGGTTAGTTTTCTAATTTTTAATTTATTTACGTTTTTTTATATACTAGTATATAAACTCGAGATTTAAAAATATTTTTTTAGATTTCTTTAAGTTTTATTATATTAGTTACTGTTTTAATAGCTTATAATTTTTATTATACTTTTTATATATTGTTAGTTAATATTCGTAATTTAAATAGAACGAGGATTTTTATACTTTTACTAATTATATTATTATATATGAATTGGGCTATTAATAATAATATAACCTAGTTATTTTAATCGTAGTTTATATAATAATAGAGGTATATTTTTAAAATTTAATTAATTTTTTTATTTAGCTATCGGTTTATAGGTAAAAAAGTTAATAGTTTATAGTTTATATTAAGTTATAAGATTAGGAATCTCTAAAACTTTAAAGTAAATAGAGCTTTTATTAAAAATAATTTCTTTTAGTTTATTATAATTAGTAATAATAACTTTAAAAAATATATATTAACTTTTTATACTATTAGTTTTTTATAAAGTATAAAGTAAGTAAACTTAGTGAGTCGATTAATTATAACTAAGATATTATCGTATTATATATTTATAAGTAGTTCTTTAGACTTTAATAGTTTAATAATAAAGTCTTATAAAATTAATTATTATGCTTTTATAAGTAGTTATAATAGTTATAGCTCGCCATAAGGCTTATATAGGCTATTTTTATTTTTTTATAAGTTACGTAATTTTTAATTATTTTTATAATTTTTATATATATAGTGGATTTGTTATAATGCTAGCGAATCCGTTTTTATATTTTAATAACTCCTTAGTAACCGTATATAGGTATATTATAAATTTTTATAATAAGTTTAGGTTATTTTTTAGTTAAACTAATATTAATCCTTTTAGTTATTATAAAAACTTTGTAGTTAGTATAAGGCTACTATTTTTTTTTTTGAGGATAATTTACGTTTCTTTAGGGACCGTAACTTCGTAATTAGGTCTTTTATTAAGAGCGTTTATTTTATTATTTTTTAAACCTTTTTGATAAATAATTTAGAAGTTATATTTAGATAGGAATTCGCTCTATTTAACTTATCGTTTATTTAGATTCTTATTTATTATAAAGTTTATAAAATTCTTATAGTTTATATAAATTATAACTTCGTACTTAGTTCTAAATAGTTATAGTCTATTTTTAAAATATTTTAATAATAATATTAGCTCTTTATTATAAATTTACTAATTTAATTTATTCTAAAATATTTTAAAATAAATAGAAATAATATAAATAAAGCTTTTTTATTTATTTTATTATTTTAAAACCGTTCTTATAGCGAAGTCCGAGGTATCGATTTTAATTTT